TATATATCAGTGCAATAGATTTCTATCCATTGTCCATTTTAAGCAGGTGTTTGCTTATACCATTTTCTGGTAATGGTATTTTTATACGCTATAAATAATATCATAAGATACCCATCAGCCTTCAAAGATTTTTTAAAAATAGCCAAGGTACATTGTTGAAAATTCCCCTGGGAAATCAATATCCCAAGATCTTGAACTGTATCCCAGAAAACATACTTTCCGGCGATTCCAAAATATATGAGATGCGATCAGCATCCAAATGATCTCACATATAGATAGTTGCCTACTCTAAAGATTTCTCCACCCAAACTCTCTCCATCTTCGTGAAGAAGTTTTCTAACCGTAGCCAAAATGTGTTTGTGTTTCTCTCTATAAAGGTTATGCAGTTGAGAGCGTGACAGAAACAGAGACCCCGACACCACTGGAAAGCTCCATACCTCCGTTTTATAACACTGAACCCACAAACGTGGGTGAGGGTAGGATTTTTATTTCCTTTTTTGCATTTTTATTTCCCAGCATAACCACATAACCATCCCAGGATTGCCTGTTATGTTTTATATTATAGTCAGTTTATGTTTTATCTGTTTATTCTATACTTCCAATTTGTTTGCGGTTTTGAATCTAAGTGTTTCCAATACACTTACAGATCCAGTACAAAATGTCTTCGGTCTCTGTTTACCTTGATAACATACTCTGTAAAGTTTGATCTGTCATAGAAGGAATTGATTTTTGGTGGCATAATAAACTGGCGATGTTTGTTTTGGCTTATATCTCTAATACAATTCAATCATGAAAGTGTTCGCCTCGTTCCTCCAGATAACCTGAATACGACAGGGGTGACAATGAGACCAGATGCAGAGCAGTTTAACCTCACCATAACTCCAGCAATCACTGACAACTCTACAGACTCCCCTGTGACCTCCTCTGCGACCTCCAAAAAGATGTCCGCCGCACACCGTAAGCCCTGATTCTGACTGAAAAGCAACTTTAGTTTTAGTGGAAGGACTTTCAGAGTGGGATTGGGGGAGGGTAACAGAGCTGAGGATCGCATGAATAGCTGAGAGGCTTCCTCTTTACTCATGCAATTCATATCAAGGGCACACATAATTAGCAGGTAATTAGAAAATGTTCAATGCTCTTTCCATGCTGAGAGGCTTAAAGATAATGCGGTGTTTCCGCGGGATTGAGGAGCACTGTCACGGTGAGCTGATATGCTTTATGAAGAATCAACCAACCATATATCCTGGGAGAGCAGCGGGATTGAAATATGCAAAAATGTAATTTGAAAGACAGGGCCGGACAGAGAATGAGTGCTGCTGGAATTTAATTAGAAGCTATTACGGACAAATCCATAGGATTGCGATAAGAAGCAGCATCTGCTTTTCACACCGAAAGTCTTTGCTGTCAACCTACATTATGGACCAAAACGGGATTCAAAAGCTCACTCCTATTCATAATTCTGCGAATTTGAGGAAAGAATGTACATGCTAGATTAGGTTTCTCTCCTTGTCTTTTTCCTTGACCTCACTTCCCTCTCATGTTCTCATTGCAGCGACCCTTAACACCAACACCTCCAGAATCGCCAGAGTTGTAGCGTGGGGTAAAACTTTCTCATCTTCCTCTTTTTCTTACATAAATGTATTCTACAACCTATGATAGGCCGATATACTGTATTGGAGGTGTTACTTTCCCATTGTATCTATTAAAATCTTTGTCGATAATGCATATTTTCAAACCTTATTATACAAAAAAAGAAATATGTAAGTAATATAAAAGTTAATAAAAAAATATAAAAGTTAAACTAAAATATAATAATGTAGTTCAAATATAATATAGTTAAAATATTATATATTTTTTATTTTCAGATTTTTGTATGGCTCATTAAGCAAAAAAATTAATTGTATATATTTTTATAAATATAAACAATATTTAATATTATAATATTTAAAAATTGAATTATAAAATTATTTATATTAAAATTATTTTATATAAAAAATATATTAAAGCTGCATTCCTAATAACTTTTTTTGTTGGTTAAAAATTATCCAAAATCAATTATTGATTAAGGGTGATCAAATAATGAACATTTTCATTACATTTCATTCATTTTCATTGCATTCATTTCAGTCTCCACTAAATTTTACCCATCAAGTCATAAAGTCATTTGCATAAACTGCATCTCATTGACATAACTCTGATTGAATCATAGAAAATTAGTGTTGGAGGTCATGTGAGGTGGACAGGTGAAAGACTTCATCCCATTAGACCCATTAGATGCAGCAGGCTCATGAGTCCATCACCATAAACACACACCCACACATATTCTACTGGCTTATTTAGCATATTATGAAAATGATAGAGTCCATTACATTTTATAGGCATGCGGACTGTTGTCAGGTCTTGTTTATGATGTCAAAATCTCTCTAAACTGTACAATTTCCTCAACAGATGAGAGTTGGGACGAGCCGTTTCATTACA